TCGTTCCATTGCTCTTCAGACTCGAGATGGGAAGCGGAGGAAGGTGTCCGAAACTGTTGTCTCACTTTTCATCATAAGGCATTGTGTGGTTTTTCTACACTTAGTATCAACACGGTATTGTGTTTATATATGATTATTATTATATATATATATTTATATATAGTATATATATATATATATATATAAAGTATGTTGTGTGGTGTGTGTGTGTGTTGGTGTGTGGTGTGGTGTAGGTGGTTAGTGTAGTATAAGATGACGGAGATTAGTTAGATGTGAAGCGTATATTAATGTTAATGATAAGTATGGGAGTATGGTTAATAAGTAGGGAGTGGATTAAAGAGGAGATAATTGAATGCATTAAATTTATAATACATATGACATATATGTATATAATATATCTGTACATATAAATGTGTGTGTGTGTGTGTGTGTGGTACATGTATATATGTATGTGTGTGTGTGTGTGTATATATAATTATATATATATATATATATTAATATATTTATATATATATATATATGTCTGAACATACACAGACAGACAAAAAATACGTATGTTTTTGAACGTATTGATGTGCATATGCCATACAGTATACATAATAACGATAATTATGATGATGATAATGATAGTAATGTTACTCCTATTTCCATTGGTAATAAGAATAACGATAGTAATGACAATAACACTAATACTACTAAATATGGTGATTTCATTTAATAATTTCTTCCTCGATTGTTCTCAAATAATTTCACTTGCGGGCCTTAGCATTTCATATAAGCTCGTCACCTCACTGATGTTGCTACGCGGGTTAATCGAGTTGATTAAATATTAACTAAATCCCTGTTTTGATGAAAAATTAGTATGGCAATGGAGATATGCATGTTATATGCATACATTAAATGATCGGAGAGGAACCGGATCCCCTAGAGACAGTTGAAAAAAAAACTTGTCTAACAACTTGTGGAATCGACAATCGGTTGCTGCGACCTCATCACGAGGACTAGGATTTGGCAGGGTAAAGTTTGTTCTCCGTGAGCTACGAAATGGAAAAAAAGTCAACTATATTTTAACGTGAGCAAACACGTGTGCACTTCTCACGCACGTCTACTTTCTAATAAGTGACCAAGGAATAGCGAATTATTCGTCGTTAACATACTGAAGAATTATATGAATCAACTATATTGACTATTTTTTTCATCATCTATGTGGGTGTGTATACATACATTCATACCTGTACACATACTGAAGCACACAAAAAAGTGCATATTCTGTATCGGTACTTTTTTTCTTTAATGCCTTTGGGGGCATGAAACTATTTTTCTCAGATGAAAGAGAAATTCAAGGATGAGGAGGTTCATAAAAGCCCTTAAGATTTTATAGATGTGCGTTTTTACAGTGCAAACTCCTGTTATCATTATTCACAGAATCTTTTTCGAATCCTTCCCCTCAAGAGTGATCATGTCGCTGATGGCTCTGAAAGAAGACGAAACAAATGTTTCCTCACCTGTTTTACAAGGCACCTGAAACCACTCCCCACGCACGCGCACCGACAGCTTCATCTTCTCTCACGAAACTTGATTCCCAATTTTTCTCGTTGCCGTTGCAGTGTCCTATCGCCTTATCACGAATCGGTTGAAGTTTAAGTAACAATATCAAATAAATATGATCGGAAATAAAGGAAATGAGACTGAAGACAGGAAGGCGAGATGTGGTGACTCCGCAGCGACTGAGGTGGCTGAACACTGCGGAGGAACCTGTTCCTCAAGCTTTTATAATCAGCAGACAGTGCAAATGAGGCTCCCATGATAGTGCGTCTTTCTTTGCATCACATGTTAAACAACTAAGCTGTTAGATGATGCTATTGATGATAACTATAACAATGAATTATTTGGTGTTAAAACTAGTACTGGTAATGATAATAATAAGGATAATTATGCTAATGATAGTGAAAATGACGCTATTAATATAGGTTATGACAATGGTAATAATGATGAAAGAGGATAGTAGTAACCAATAATGGTGCTGATGATCATGTTAACAGTATGATGAAAAGGATAATGATAAAAGTACAAATAATGATAACGACAACAATAATTATAAAGATACTGATGACCATGATAAAATTATTCAAAATTATGATGATGGTAATGGATATGATGGATATCAAGGTACGGTCAGACTACCCATAAATTTCACTGGAATCCAGCGGTTTTCTGTGGGCTGGAACCAACTCACCCATCCGTAGTGTCACATTGCGAAAAGGACCATCGGCTTTGTCCGGTGGAATCGCGGTATCAAAACAAATCGTGACTACAGAAACGTTATGGATACCGCAATCTTCTTCCTAACTCTTGCTATTCTTTTAGGTTTTCGGAGATCTTGCCTTTTCTAGGAGGGAGTAAACTGCTTCAGAATTCTACATTTCGAATATTCATTCGGTTTCAACTTGAAGTTGGTGGCTACGCGTTTGCTTATATTCGTCAGTCAAATGAGAATCCATGGTCAATTCTTTTGTTTTTCATTTTTATTCGTATTTTAGCTTACATTTAAATGTAAATATTAATGTAAAACTATGTATGAATAATCCCGAATAATTAAGAATATGATAATATTTATGCTTTGAAATGAAAATATATGCATACCATGCATACAATAGATTCTCGTGTGCAATTTTTCCATTCGTCCATCGAAGAATGTATGCGTATCCATCGCATCAAACATGTGGGCGACAGTGCAGTGCAGTGAATCCATCGATGGGCAAATTCCGTTGGATTTCACGAATCTACGGGTAGTCTGACCGTAACTTTATATTATTGATGATATGATAATGATAATACAGCTAATTACTATAGTGATAACCATGATAATAATGATGATGGTGATAATGATAAACAACGATGATGGTGTTAAAGATAAACAACGATGATGATGACATTATAAACAATTAATAGATCATAATGATAACAACAGCAGCAATGATAACAGTAATAAAAATTATAATAACATCAATATACTAATAATAACACTGAAAAATTATGATTTAGACAACAATAATGAGAATAACAGAAAGGATAATAATGATGATAATAACTGTAATAATGATGATGAGGATGATAATAATTATGATGGTGATAATGATAATGATAATAAAAATTACAATAGTAATAGTAATAACGGTAGTGATTATAAATAATGATAAAATGATAAGGATGATAATAATAACGATGATAATAATGACATTGACAATTATAATAATGATAATAATAACAATGAGAAAATAATGATAATGATGATCAAAATAGTAATGATTATTATAATGATAATAACCATAATGAAAATCAAATGCTAATAATGCTGATAATGATAATAACAGTAGTAACAGTGATAGCTATAATAAAAATTACAATAAGGATGAAGGTAATAATAATGACAGTAATGATGATGATTATAACAAAAGTAATAATAATAATCATAATTTAGATAACAATAACAATAATGATGAAAATAATAATGATGATAACGGGATTATTATTATTATTATTATTATTATTATTATTATTATTATTATTATCATTATTAAAGACAGTAATATTGATAATAATGATAATGATAACAATGATACTATTACTAATAATAATATGAATATTAATTTCATGATAATGATAATGATAGTAATAATGATAATGATAATAACAATAAGGAAAATGATGATGATAATGATAACAGTAAGAAAAATGACGATTATAGTGATAACAATACGAAAAATGATGATAATAAAGGTAACAATATTAATAATAGTGATAATAATAAATACAATGATGGTGGTAATGATAATATCAACGATAATAATGGTAATAATAATAACAATAATGATAATAATGATAATTTATATCATCTCTAATCCAGTACAGTGGTGACATCCGTAAGCACATTACCACCTTGGCAGAAGTAATAAAGGTATTGATAATATTGATATTTACCCCTTAAGGATGCAATTATTTTCAAAAATCCTGGATCTGGATCATGATCCGGGTCACTACTATATAACAGCATTCAAGTTTGGCTTCGACACACCGGTGGTAAAAGAATCCTTAAAAATCTGTTCATTGTGTCTAGAGTTATTCTGCTAACCAACGAACAAACTAAGTAACTAACAAACCAACGCAACCCAAAGCATAATTTTCTTGGCGGAGGTAATTCTGGAAGTAACGGCGAATGTGATAAGAATTATAGTGATAAAAATATTATTATGATAATAGTAATAATAATAGTAATGAAAGTAATACTAAACCTAATAATGATGATACCAATAATAATAATAATGATATTAATAATACTAATGATAATAATAATGATGATAATAGTAATAATGATAATACTAGTTATAAGAATAGTAACAATAATAATGATATGAATAATAAAAAAGAAAATGATGACAATTGTTATTACTCTTAGTATTTGTATCATAATGATACTAATACCACTAATATTGATACTACCTATCCTGCTACTACTAATACTAATAATAATGGTAATCATAATAGTGATAATAATGATAATATGGCAATAGTTGTGATAATGACACTGATAGTAATGATAATAATAACAATAATGATAATAATAACAATAATGATAATATTGATAATGAAGTAACATTGATGATTCTGATAACAATAACAGTAATGATGATAATGATAATAGTAATATAAGAATAATAATGATAATAATAGTAACAATTAGAATAATAATGATATAATAATGATGATAATGAAAATCGGAAAAAAAGACGATTCTGATGAAAATAATAACAATAATAGTAATAGTAAAGTTAGTAATACTGACAATGATAATAATAATGATGATAATAATAATAATAATGATAATGATAATGATCATTATAATCATAATATTGATCATGATAATAATACTGATGAAGATCAGAAAGATATTAGTACTACTACAAATAAGAATAATGATAATAACAATCACAATAATAATATAAATAATAGTAATGATGATAATATTTATAATGATAATATTGACAACCATCATCATCATAATTGTAATTATAATGACAGTGATGAAAACAAAGAAAATGATGCTGATTACAATGAAATAATAATGATAATAATGATGATAGTAATGATAACAATAATAAAGGTGATAACAATGATAATTAATAATAATGAAAGTAATAGTGACAGCGACAATAATAATGATAATAATGACAATAATGATAAACATGATGATGTTGACTATAATGATGTTCATAATGATAACAATGATAATAATAATGATAATGATAATGATATTGATGAGGATAATGAAAATGATGATAATTATAATAATAATAATAGTATTAATAATAATGATATGAGGATAATGATAATGAATGTGATAATGATAAATATAATGATAATGATAATGATGATAAAAATGATAGTGACAATGATAATGATAATGATGATTCTGATGATAATAATAATAATAATAATGATAATAAAAAGGATAGTATTGATATTAATAATAATAATAATAGTAATAATAATAATAATAATAATAATAATAATGACAGTAATAATAATAATGATAATGATAAATAAAATGATAATAATAATAATAATGATATATATAATAATAATCATAATAACAATAATAATGATAATAATAATAATGATAATGATAATGATAATGATAATGATAATGATAATGATATATCATAATATCAATAATGATACTACTACTACTAATAATAATAATAATGGTAATTATAATAGTATCAAGGATTATAGTAATAATAATAATGATAGTAATTATAATGGAAATGATAATATTGATATTGAAAAAAATAATGATAGTAACAATAATGATAATAAGAAAATTACATTGATAATAATAATGATAAAATAGCAATGATAATCATAATGATCATTATGATAGTGAAAATAATATTGATAATAATGATGATATTCATAATAACGATAATAATGCTAATATTAAGGTAATGTAATAATAAGGACAATAATTATAATACAAATGATAATAATATTAATGATTGTGGAAACCAAGATAATAAGAACAATGTTTGCAATAATCATAATAGAAATAATTGTAACAGTAATAATAACAAAAATAAAGATGATAATAAAATGTTCCTGATAATGGTAATGATAATGATAACAATAATGATAACAGTAATAATATTGATAATGGTGACGATGATGATAATAATAATAATATCATTATTAATGATAGTAATAAGAATGATGATAACAGTAATGATGATAGCAATGTTAATACTATAATAATGATGATGATGATAGGCGTAGCAGTAGTATAACAGTAAGTACAGTGAACCCTCGTTTTTCGCGGGGATTACGTTTCAAAAAGAACCCGTGATAGGCAAAATCCGTGAAGTAGTAACCTTTATTTTTTTACAATTATTATACAATGCAATAGTCTACAATACAATAAAACCAAAGAACAAAACCTTTTTACAGGCCCAAACATTTGTTTAACAAATGAAAGTACTGTATAAACGTTTTTTTACAAATAGGTACTGTACTGTAAAATAATAATTTTAATCATCAATACGAACTGAAGGCTTCATGGGTTTTAGAGAAAATTTGCAAATTTAAATTTGCCAAGCTGTTTTACGTACATGTACATACCAAACCGTAACGTTATTGACACACAGGTAGAGAAGAAGCGGAGAGACTGTTTAGCCAATCAAAATGCAGA